ATTTTCCAGCAGCTCCTATCAACTGCAGATGAGTGTTGAAGTTGGCAATGGTCTGCGCCAATTGGAATTGAATCAGACCTGCATCACAATGGGTACTGTTCCCTCGACTCTCTATACTACCAATGTCAGTATGGTTCTAATGCCAGACAGGAAGATTAACGGTAGAGCGCTGTTGGACATACGTCAGCTACCCTGGTGGATTATTGCCAATCCGACTGCCGGAAAGTCCAACAGGCTGACCGCGAAGTTGAATCGAGATGGCAGCAGGTCATTGCGTTGTTCGCTAGAGGGCGAGGCCGCTGACAGCAGTACAATGAAGTTCAAGTTCAAGGCGGATAAACAGGAGACCGCGGCGGGTGATGTGTCAGTCATGCTGGCCGTTGTACCGGGTCAACCCACTGAGACCTTTAAGGGCATCTTCTACAAGTCCACTTCGCAGTACGCTTTTACAGAGTCGGAACACGCCTGCAGCCACGAGGGTGAATGGAACGGTAACCGGGGCTATGCTCCGGGTATGCCTTTCCGTTTCGGCGTCCAGTACAAGCACCAACCAGATTTTCGGCAGGGCAGCATTAACGTCTACGCAGAAGACACCAACCTTGGCAAGGCGACCGACTTTGAGCTGGCGGAAGCTCTCTATGAGTACAGCGTCAAGGGCCCAGACGGCGGTGTCAGAAACGATGGAGTCTACCAGCTGAGCAGTGAATACATGCTGAACTGGCGGCGTTACCTCAGTCGCGGCGTTGCGGGCACCCAGGGCTTTCTGAACGCCAACCTGAGCCGAGACTTCATGCAGGGTGACCTCAGCTTTAGCACCCATCTCACTGACTTTGCACAGTCCAGTCTAGAGGTCAGTATGAACTACGTGAAGAAGGAGAAGAATCTTCTGGTGACCTCCAATGCGCAACTAGAGGGCAGTCCTGTCTACATAGCGGAGTTAACTGTGGAGGAGAGTGGCGACAACCGGACAGTTGATTTTTTCTTGGAGACTACTAAAACTGCCGAGGTGAAAGCCGCCAATCTGACCGCCCCATGCAGCTCGCCCGAGGATATTAATCAAGCGTGTCCACTGACCTACCAACCGGCCCCACGCATCTCAGCCAAGCACTTTCTTCAAGTCTCCTTTATAGACGGACTGCGCCAGACTCAGTTGAAATCCAATCTCTTAAAGGTGAATAACAGTTCATTTTGAGCCTTTATCCTGCTTATTGGTTATTTCAGCAAAATTGTGAGGAATGTCTGATGGTACCGAATACAAAGCAATTAGAAAAGGCGTTAGAACAGGTCATATATTCTCCACAGTCACGCTAGGATCCTTTTTTTTTACTGCGGATATGAAATTGCGTCAAATGTGATTGTAGCAGGTTTTCTACCTCGAGTAAATTCGTCAGTCCTCATCTTTATATACGGGAAAACCTATTGTTAATACCATTAATTTTTTGTGGAGACGAGTGCATATCCGAGGGCCAATTAGGGTGCGCAATCCCATACTCAACGACGGTCGATCGAACCCCAGGATGTCAGTCCCATACCAGAAAATGGTTGTCGTTCAACGAGCACGTACTTTGGCCGAAACAACACTTAGTGACATGAATAGCGAGCTTACGTTAAATAATAATGACTACAGCCCTCAAGTCATTTTTAAAAACACTCCAGAGTTGGAATCGGTACATCGATAATGCACATGAATTTAGGTGAGTTTTGGCATCCTGGGCTTATAAGAAGAGAAAAAGAAGACAGTTAGAACTTCGAAATCACTTCTCGATTCATCTGAGTCCCTTGTCAGAAGTAAAAGTGCCAATAGAATCAGTACCAGTTATAGGAGGTAGAAGTCAGTCAAAAATCATTAACGGCAGTATGCATGTGACAACGCAGGGTTCTGCATGCTGGCGCCAGATTGATATGTTGATTGACTGAAGGCGCAGGTTTCAATAAATTCTCCGCTCTTTTTGCTTTTGACGTGGGCGATTATCTTTTTGGCTGCGACGGAGTGCTTGTCTACGGAACTAGGTGTGAGTATTACACATCAGTCCCGAGCTACCATGCGCAATAAGGAAATGAACGTAAATAATCGATTAAATCCCAGTGAAGAGTCCCATAAAGTGTAGCATATCCCATGCCTAGACCATCCTTGAAACTGCACAGCTCAAATTGATTGCATACTCAGATGTCCAGTAGTCAAAGAGAAGCTGGGTGTTCGACGGAGTGACGGATTATCACCCGTGGCTGCCCGCACCTACGAAAGGGGCGACGGGTTTAACTTCAGCGGCACGAAGATTGTGGCCCACCGTAGGAGCAAGACAAACCGCACATTGATTGACTTCGGAGTCTCCGAAAAGTATTGGGTTAACCGACGTTTATCTCTGACGCCGGCGTGTAGACCCTTGCGCAGTCACTTCTGGACTTACGTTACTGACAGTTGATTAGTTTCTACTTGTTGCTGCTTGTTCTGCTGCCGATTTTATCGCGGAACAAGGACTTCATTAAAAGTAAAACAGATAGATTATTTAAGAAATTGTTCCGCAAATCAAACAGCCTTATAATTCCATATTAGTTATGTGCAATTCTGATTCTTATTATTTTCTATGGTTCGTTGTATACCTTATAAAATGCAGGAGAGTTCGGAAAAATGTTTTTTCTAGGCCTTTGATTCTACTCATGATTTCGTACTCCAAGAGAGATGGTGCGTAGGCTTTAAAGACTTTTTCATCATGATATAGCTTTAGTTGATTTCGAGTTTCTTCAGGTTTTATCATATGCACAGGTTCCTTATTGATGTTTACGAAATATCCAGCGTGGTGTACATTCACTGCCATACCGAATATGCAAGGAAGCACCCCTATTGTTAACGAGAAATAAATGGGTTTGCTGCTGGAAAACATTTCACAAGTAAACAAGGAAGACCTAAAGTTGATACTGCATCTTTGGAAGGGAAATTAAATATGCCTGGATTTCCAACATACCGGTTACAAAAAGGAATGCCTCATCGGTAAAAACCGTAAACGATTCTGTTGAATAGTTTGCGTGAAAGTCAGCTGCAAAGCAATCAGTTTGCGTGTTGGCTCCTGGGAAGAGTGGTGCTAGTCGACGGTGGCCTGAGGTCTGACAATTTAGCGAACCGTACAATGTCGTGGGCGCAAGGGTATTAGTGCAATTCGGCAACCATGTACCATCATTAGATGCACTTACTTACCACCGCTGTACAACAGTTAGGTTAGCTAACAATACCCCATGAGATAAGACCAAATAACTAATCCGGGTATATACCAGGTGTACCAAATTACCATGACTACTCGTGAAGAGTGCGGCCAGTTAAATTAATATTTAACAAGTATAGTAGACAAATCCACGTTGCCTAAGGAATAGATGCAAAAACGAGTGAGACTGGGAGGGTTGTCCCGGACTACCTATTCGTCATCAGCCTGGCATAGCAGTGTTTAGGTTTAGCAGGAGGTAGAGCTCGAATCTGAACTGATTAGTAAGTGAACGTTAGTCTTAAAGCTCGGCCATGGTGCAACAGATCCGCTTTCTTTTCGTATGTTTGTAAATTATTTTGAGGAAGGCGCACACGGATCACATTTTGGAACACCCCAATCCCGCCGAGCAATTCCAACGATGTGTTAACTGGTTACTATTAATCTATAAGTAGCCACTTTTATTGAGGTGGTTTATTTGCAGGCATTTGACAACATTTAAAACACTTCGGCTTGTGTTGCTCTCGCTTCCTGTGCCGCTGTTTCGTACCATCGCAGAACAAAATTGTTCGTAAGGTTGTAATTACTATTTGCTGCTTTCAACTCAAACTTATTTGCTTTTTTGTTCTTTCCCGGTTCAGAGCAGGGCTTTAGCAAGCATTTTATTACCCCTGTTGTATGCAGTCAATGCGTCAGGTTTTTTCTTCATAAAAGTTGTGTCATTAACTTTCTACAGGACCCGATTTTCATTGAGACAAGCAAAACTGATGAGAGTGAGGCTGTTGCCATCTATCGCGGGCTGCTTGAAGATCGCAGCGATCCCATCGCAATAGCCTCATACGAGCTGGCTTACAGCGGACCACAGGAGTCCAAACGCCAGCTGCGCTTGGAAAAGGGTGGAAAGGTCTACACTGTCAGCGATCTGCGAACAGTAGGCGAACTGCAGGTTCAACACGGTATGTTACCTTTCGTGCGATATTGAAAGTCTCTACAACTATCAACAGACAGGTGTTAAGTACTCCACAATTGGTTAGTCCAGACTCGAGTGTCTATTGTTGTCAGATACACTGAGGTTGTAACGCCTACTGAAGAAATATGTAATAGTCCAAAATGCACGATGGCAGAATCATGCTTAAGATTATTGAGCCGCTGACAGTCGGCTATCCATGTCCGCAAGATTGAATGGGTATCCTGTTCAATTTTGGTGAGCAGACGGAGCCTGACTTCAGCATCACGAGATGACCGCAGAGCGCTCACAAAGATGGAGCACTTGCATTGCACTTCTATCCCCTCTCGCAGCTTGAACCTTTCACACTCGTTGTTGAAAATACTGGTGAGCATCAGAAAATCGTCTGTCTCGTTCTGCACTAGCTTAGAGCACTGGTATCCAATATTGAAAAAGGAGGACTTCTCGCCGAAGGTCTCTAACAGGGGGTTTCATCGAATATAAAGTCACGAGAGCTTTTCGGCAGAATCATATCCATGTACCGCTCGTGCTCTTTGTTGTCAAATTTTTTTTCTAGTAGCAGGCGCCTCTTTGAAGCATCGTCAGCTTTGGCTAACTACACACGGAAGATGTCATCCCAGCGTTTAAACCAAGCACAAAATGTCACGCCAGAGTCGGGATCATAAGTAAACTCAGCTGCGCCCGCTTACCTGGACTGTTCTGCAGAAGAATCTGGATCAGAAAGAATGAAAACTGCATTGCTGCATCATAGACTCCATCATCTTTATGTGAGCCGCCTCGATCTGAGTTTTTTGCTGCTGCACAGTAGATAGCAATAACTCCGCGGAGATGGACATCGTGAGCTCTGCGTCGCCAATTGTTCTAAATGTAGCCAAAAGCCGTAATATCACCGTCTAATTACACCTTGCGTGAGTTTCCAAGGAAGAACTCAACAAGAAGAGCGCAAAAGTAGAAGTCGTTTAGCAAACCTAGTACAGCGTACTAATGCAGGCAAAGCATACAAGATTTAACCAATCATATTGCGGCCTCAAGCAGGTGGCGGTTCGATTGGCCTTCTGACTCATCCGACTGGCGTGGTTGAGTTCCTTGTGTTGTTGCAGCTCGCGCGTCATCACGTGCACTGTGTGTGAGCGTATCGCAAAAAAAGTAAAGGATACGAAAGTTTAGCCCTAGCGACTGCGATCTTCCAGGCCCGTTTCCTTAGGAGATGATAAAGAAGTCCTGGAGAACAAGAGTAAGAGAAGGTTATATTCTGTACAGAACAAGTAAGAGAATAGATAGTAGAAAGGTGGTTGATTCGGCCTGGCATCGAGTTCGACCATCAGGACCATGAGAGAGCACTGCAGTGTCGCGTCCGTCTCG